TAGTAAGCTATATAGAAGTCATAGTATATTAAGGCCTAAAAAGTGAGAAAATGATATCGGATAGTATGACAAAAAAGTGAAAAAATGGCATAGTGTAAAAGGCATGAAAACGTTAAAAAAAGTCATATTATAGTAAGGTATACAGATGTCATAGTATATTAACGCCTAAAAAGTGAGAAAAACAATATAGGAAAGTATGGTAAAAAAGTGAGAAAATGGCATAGTATATTAAGGCATAAAAACATCAAAAGACGTCATAATATAGTGAGGTATAAAAACCTCATAGTATATTAACAACTAAAAAGTGAGAAAAACAATATAGGATAGTATGCCAAAAAAAGTGAAAAAACGACATAGTGTATTAAGGCATAAAAACATAAAAAGATGTCATAATATGGTGAGGTATAAAGACGTCATTGTATATTAAGGACTAAAAAGTGAGAAAAATTACATAGGATAGTATGCCAAAAAAAGTGAAAAAACGTCATTGTATAGTATGGCAAAAAAGTAAAAAAATGGCATACTGTATTAAGGCATAAAAACATAAAAAAAACGTCATAACATAGTGAGGTATAAAAACCTCATAGTATATTAAGGCCTAAGAAGTGAGAAAAACAATATAGGATAGTATGCCAAAAAAAGTGAAAAAACGTCATTGTATAGTATGGCAAAAAAGTAAAAAAATGGCATACTGTATTAAGGCATAAAAACATAAAAATATGTCATAATATGGTGAGGTATAAAGACGTCATGGTATATTAAGGACTAAAAAGTGAGAAAAACAATATAAGATAATATGGCAAAAAAAAATGAAAAAATGGCATAGTGTATTAAGGCATAAAAACATAAAAATATGTCATAATATGGTGAGGTATAAAGACGTCATAGTATATTAAGGACTAAAAAGTGAGAAAAACAACATAGGATAGTATGGCAAAAAAATTGAAAAATGGCATAGTATATTAAGGCATAAAAACATCAAAAGGCGTCATAATATAGTGAGGTATAAAAACCTCATAGTATATTAACAACCAAAAAGTGAGAAAAACAATATAGGATAGTATGCCAAAAAAAGTGAAAAAACGACATAGTATAGTATGGCAAAAAGTGAAAAAATGGCATAGTGTATTAAGGCATAAAAACATAAAAAGATGTCATAATATGGTGAGGTATAAAGACGTCATAGTATATTAAGGACTAAAAAGAGAGAAAAATTACATAGGATAGTATGCCAAAAAAAGTGAAAAAACGTCATAGTATAGTATGGCAAAAAAGTGAAAAAATGGCATAGTATATTAAGGTATAAAAACATCAAAAAACGTCATAATATAGTAAGGTATACACATGTCATAGCATAATAAGGCCTAAAAAGTGAGAAAAACAATATAGGATAATATGGCAAAAAAAATGAAAAAATGGCAAAGTGTATTAAGGCATAAAAACATAAAAATATGTCATAATATGGTGAGGTATAAAGACATCATAGTATATTAAGGACTAAAAAGTGAGAAAAACAACATAGGATAGTATG